AACTTAAGCCCCGTTTGACAATCATTATTTTAAAACTATTTTTTCTACATAATTATTTTCAACCACACATTTACACAATAAAATATTCTGCAGGCAAATTCAAAACTTTTCTCTACTTTTTAACCACACATTCTCCTAAAAAAATATTATTCGAAACTTTATTTTCCACAATTGACTAAGTCCGATTTATACTAAAAGATATTTTATTGATGTGTTGACCGGGTTAATATTGAATATTACATTCCATTAGTAGCAGTTTCTTAACGGAGCAATTTTTTTGTACATTTTACCGCTATTACGTACAGATGATAAACTGCTAACATCCTTCAAACCCCTTATGATGATCGCATAACACAGTCATCATCGTCAAACATCTAGCCGTTTACGGGACAAACAAGTACATGAATTTTGGTACACTAAATTAAATTTTATAATTTCATCGCCTATTTCTCTTTGTTATTACGTTCAAGATTAATAATATTTTAAACCGAGTTTGCCATCATTTATAAGGCGAAAAAAAGCTTATACGGGGGGATGATTCTCCTTGGGGCAGAGCTCATTCTCTAAAACCCTATTTGACAATCATTGTTTGAAAATCTTTTTTTTTTCTTATATACTCATTTTCAATCACAAATGCTCATCATAAAATATTATGAACGTAAATTCAAAAAAATTTCCTACTTTTTAAACACACATTCTCCGCGTTATGTTTTGTGACTCAAATTTTATGAGAATTAAAAATTTGATTCATGGAGGTAGCCTAGAATCCCTCGATAATGTTAGTTTGGAAGTCCGATTTGATAAATGATCAAATATCATCATGGATTGAGAGTTTGATTGGAATAAGGATTATGGAATTAAGGATTCTACTTCATCCATAACTCCAAGATTTGGCTCCTATAAACACTCCACAAGATGTAGGCTCTTTATAGACTCAAAATAGCAATTAGATCATTGTTGTATATATTAAAAATTTGAGAAAATTAATCGAAACTTGTAAAGACAATTTTAAATTAGATCATTGTTGTATAATAAATTATCATCATCTTCCTCATAAATCTTGGTTGTTGTGTGGTCCATTATTTTCATATTGCCCTTATTTTTTGTCTTTAATTATTTGATCGTATTCTTAACAAGTGATATCAAAACGATTCTAGTATCTTAGTTGGTTCATAACAAGTGGTATCAGAGCCAAGATTTTTTGGCAATTTCTTAGGAGGTCCGAATTGGTCATTAAAACGAGGTTTGAACAAGGTTGATTGTTTTAGGATGGAAACTATGAAATTTCATTTTTAGATCGTAACAGTAGATTTTCTTTATGTCAGATCAAGATGGGAGCTGTTCTTCCTCAATTGTATCTTGATGATACTTTGTTGGGAATAGAGAGAATGCCTACAACAACGACTACGGAGGCGAAACAACGGAAGGATATGAAAGCCCTATCACACACACACACACACACACACACACACACA